TAAAAAAAGACAGATTCAAAATTTCTTATCTAATTCCTTTTTTCCTTATCTAATTCCTTCTTATTATCTAATTGTATGGAAATCTGTTCTGATTTTGTTCAATCCTCTAATTGTATTTGTATTAAATCCCATAAAATAAGTTTAACAAAAAAATCTCATAACATCCGATAAGTAAAAAAAAGTATGTAAAATCTTTACTAAAATAAAAAGGACTTTATTTATTATTTAATTTATTATCTAATTGTATGGAAATCAGTTCTGATTTTGTTCAAACCGCTTTCTGTATTCATATTCAGATTTTCTAATAAATATATTAACAGCAATATATATCTACTCTACCCATTATAAATTTCAAATCTCAAAATAAATTATTTGAATTATCTGAATTTTTGTTTTAATTTCGAAATTTGAAACGTATATTTTAATTTTTTTTTTCGTGTATGTATTTAGATATTTTTGTACATGTTTAGTGAAATATATTTTTGATTTTTTTTTTAATTATATTTTCAGATTTGTAATTTGGCTTCTTTATTCTACATATCGTGTATGTATTTAGATATTTACATTATCTATATTTATTTTCATGTATTGTAAAACGTTTATTGAATATTGCATCTTATAGTATAATAATTCCCAAATAATTATATCACGTGCCTCGCACAGGTCACGTACAATATATATCCCGTATATTTTTTTATTCATTTATTAATTATAAGGTTGGATAAATGGCCTTAAAATTTTACACTCTGTGAATCACACGGGCTCTGTACTAGTAGAAATATAAACAAATTTAAATATAAGAATTAAATTATATTTTCATGAATTTAAGTAATTTAATATTTATATATATATTTTTATGTAAAATAAAATAAATGATAGTTTTACTTATAATATATTATTAAAATAATAATTTTTTGAAAAAAAAAATAGTTTGTATTCATAGCTATGAATGATTTGTATCTATTTCTTTAATTTTTTATATTATTTTATAAATATTTATATTTAATTTTGATAAAAATATGAATTTTATTTTTTCAATAAAATTCTTATTTTTTAATATTTAATAAATAATTTAAATATTTATAAGTTTTTAGGTTTTAAATTCTAGCAAATTTATAGTAAAATAAAAAAAATACTATTTATAATTCAGAAAATTATTAATTAAAGTATCAAGTATCTTTCCTCATAAACCTTAAATAATAAAATAAATTTTTTGTAGTTATTTATTTTCAAAATTGAATAGAAATAAACTTCTATAAAACTATTAATATCATTTATAATTTAATATCTATTTATTCGATTGCTAAAATTATTTATAACTAGAATCCATATATTTAATTACTTTATTATTTTTAATTTAAAACTATTTCTTCAATTATTAATATAATTTATAATTTAAACTATATTCAATTTTTATATTTTCATTATGTAGAATATTGAATTCGTAATACCATTTATAATTTTGAATCTATTTATTTAGTTATTAATATCATTTATAATTTGGAATCTATTTATTCAATTATTATATTATTTTTATTTTAGAATAATTTATTTAACTGTTATATTATTTATATTTAGAATATTTTACTTAATTATTATATTATATATATATCTGTATCTACAATAATGCTCCCTACCCATGGTTGACACATGTTAATATACTCACGGCTTATGTGGCATGCACACATATGTGATGTTAATATTTTCAAAAAATACATACCAATGTGGGCATGCCACATAAGCGGTGGACATATTAACATGTGTCAACCATGGGTAGATGAGCATTACTGTCTATATCTATATAAAGAGACAACTTATTTATCAAAAAATAGTAACAAGAAAAGTCAACCAGCATTTATTGCATTCTTTTTTTTTTAATTTTTATTTTTTTTAAATTATTCTTTAAAAATCAATTAGCTATATATGCACCCTAAATTAATGGGTTTGAGAGTATTCAGCCTCTTTCGCCTCTTAAGGGTCTCCATTAAAGCTTCTTTATCCCCCAAAAGTGATTAATTTAGGTAAACATCGACTGATGCTTACAATTTTGCAAAAGTCAAAATTTTTTTCTCATTTTTTATTTACGTAAACTTCGACTGATGCTTTCAAATTGAAAATTAAAATTTAAAAATCCCTTATCATTTGGCTATTAGTTTCTTTAGTTCGGTTTTTTTTAAAAAAACATAAAATAGAGTTAGATAGTATTAATTTGCAATTCAAAATGAAATTGGATTGGAACATCCTAAGAAATTGGGTTTTGTTTGAAATTGATTGCATACACTTACATAATTAATAATGATTGCGAGCACTTACAAAATATCATATATATCCTGGTAAATAAATAATTGATTTATTTAAGCCTATCTCGAATCCTAATATAATTTGTGGTAATAGACGATGTACCAAAATACCAAACAAATAATGTTGATAAATGTGTGAATGGAACCAGGAAGATTGCGTGCAATGATGTGTTTAATATTATATAAGTTACCTTTTATTTATTCCAATACATGCATTTTACGTTTATCCAATCATCGAAATTTAAATTTTTACTTTAATAAAACTAGCTTGTGCATTGCACAGTACCGCACTAATTTTCATTATATCATATGATGTAAATAGATTGAAGCACATTATAACATAATGCTTGGTAGCCGAGTTGATGAGGATAGTTTTCCAGAGCCAAGGTTTGTGCATTCAATTCCCATTGTAGGGATTATTTTAAGTCCATATCCACTGTAAGAGCATCTCCAATGTGAGATGTTGATTTAATAAAATGTTAGCCACATCATCAAGTTAGAAAGCGAATAAAAAAATTACTCTCCAATCCATAATGTTACGGGTTCTTTTATGATGACATGGAGAAAATAAATTTCCAAAGTGTGAAGCCCATTTTCTAGTTTTCCAAAGAGTGTTAGAAAGCCATATCATAAAAAATCTAACCTATTTCACATTGATTTCGTTTTTAATTTTTTTTAGCTTATTTATTATTAAATAAAATAAAATCCACATGTACTTATTTTAAGCTTTTGAAAGGGATGCATTGGAGATGTGCATTCCGAATTAAAGTCTTTTCTTTTGACATTTATATTACATGAATTTACATTTCATTCATTATTTGACATGTGTTCAAATTTAATTAATGTTGAAAGTTGAGCATTAGAGATGCAAGGGTATAATAAAATAAAAATAATTAAAATTTAATGTGATTAAAATAAAATTAATTGTTAGTTAAAATAATTAAAATAAAATTAAATGTGATTAAAATTTAATTAATTGTTAGTGGGTATATTAAAATAATATATAAAATAAAATAATTAAAATTTAATGTAATTGTTAGTTAAAATAATGTGAGTGGATGAATAGTGAATTAAGGTTGATGTGATGTGTATAAATAATTGGTTGATATTATTTTATTATATTGATAATATTGATGATAGTGGGGTTGAGTTAAAGTTGAGTTAAAAAAAGTGGTTGAGTTAAAATGTTGAAATTTTTTATGTGATTTCTTGTATACAAACATGCTCTAAAACCTTGATTCCAACATGTACTATACCTGCCTTTGAAATTTGCAACTTATGGTATGATTGACATGAACGAATAACATGAGAATGAAATGATCATTCCCTTAATCATTTCTTATCCCATGACTGATATATTTCTTTGAAATGAATGATTATTACAATTGGAATGGCAATACCCATCTACATGGGATTAACTATTCCATAGCTAATGCAAGGATTTCTCATTCCCATATTTGTAGGAATCAAATAAACTTAACATATAATAATAAAACATAAGTATATAATATTATTATAGATCATGATAAAATTATATTAAATAAAATTATTTACAAAATAAATTTCAAATAATAATTTTAAAATTTATTTTTATATATTGTTTGTATTTTAATTAGATATATCAAATACCTATATAAAAATAAAACTAAAAAAATACATTTATAAATAATTTAAATAGATATTATTTTATTTTTGTACATCATATATATTATATATTTATTCATGAATTGAATTATAATATAAAAAAATATATTCGACCACATATGCTTATAACAGTTTATGTATTGATACATTTATATTAGTTAACTAGTACAACACTCGTGTAAAATACGGGTGCTTGTTAAAAATTTATTCTTAAATTTTAAAATTAATGAGAAAACTATATTAAATTTAGTTTAGCTTTTTACAAAAAAAAAATATATTACTATAT